TGTGCCGAGGGCTGTGCCAGGCTGCCCAGGGCAGTGGTGGAGTCCCCACCCCTGGAGGGGTTTCCAAGCTGTGGAGATGTGGGGTGAGGGACACGGGGCAGTGGGGACCTGGCAGGGCTGGGGGGTGGTTGGACTCCAGGAGCTCAAAGGTGTCTCCCAACCTAAGTGATGATTCTGTGATGCTCTGGAGGGGAGTCAGGGAAGCTGCTCCTGGGAGCAGGGGTCACTCCTGCTCTCCTCTGATGGAACAGGGCTTGGGGGGTGGTGCTTTTGGGCCACCTGGCAGCTGTGGAGGAGTTTGACCTCTCCCTTCATGAAGGGAATGGAGGGGAACTGGTCACCCACCCAGGAATGTCCTGGAGCAGCTGGTGCAGAGCAGGGAGGACAGTCCCTGGCGTGGTGACGTGGGTCAGAGCTCTCTGCTCCCCTCCCTGCTGGGCCAGGAGAGGGACAAGTGACCCCTGGGGCTCCTCTGGGAGCTGGCAGGAGAGCTGTGCCCAGCAGGTCCCTGTGCTCCAGGGCTGGCAGGAGGCCCCACAGGGTTTGGGGAGCTGGTGCCCCAGCAGAGAAGAGGAACTGGTGCTGCTGTAGCAGGGATGAGTCAACAGAGCTCTGGCCTTGCGAAAGAGGCCGAACGTTGGCCAGGGAGGGTGGGAAGAGCACGTGGGCAGCACTGGGGTGGTGCTGGCAGGACCAGGGGGGCAAACTGGAGCGTGCTGGGAAGGACTGGGAGCCAGGGAGCTCGCAGGGAGGGGGAGTTTGGTGTTGTCTGTGTGGAGAAAGAGAAGGAAAGCTGAGGAGGAACCTCGAGGGGTGGTGGAGAGGAGGGTGCCAGTGTCCTGGGGGAAGAGGGATGGAGCACAGGCCACCAAAGGGACATGTTGCATCAGTCCTTCCTGACTGGTTCTGTTTTTGGGGGGCCTCCACCTCTCCTCTCCCCGCTTCAGAATTACTTCCAGAAGCTGGAGAAGCTGTCAGCAGCAGAGGAAGTCCACGGGGATGGTCCCAAAAAGGAACGCACTAAACTCATCACACCTCAGGTGGCCAAGCTGGAGCACACCTACAAACCAGGTAAAGAATTTTCCTCCACCCAAGCCTGGATCCCTGCGGCCAGCTGGGGTTTGGAGGTCGCCACGGGGGGGGCTACAATGGGGTGAGGTCAGGCCTGACTCCCCCCCTTTCCCTCCTGCCCCATCCCTGCAGTGCAGTTCGAGGGCTCGCTGGGGAAACTCACGGTCTCCAGCGTCAACAACCCTCGGAAGATGATCGACGCCGTGGTGACCTCCCGTGGAGAGGATGAGGTGAGTGCTGCCCCTTCCCCCTCCCCTCCTGGGTGGTGCTGGGACCCTCCCCACACAGCCCCTCACCTGCTGTCCCACCCCGGCAGGAGACGAAGGAGAAGCAGGTTCGAGACAAGAGGCGCCAGACCCTCGTCATGATCGAGAAGGTGAGGGCAGGGTGAGCACAGCCTGGGGGGCAGGAGGGAGAGTGTGGCCAGGGAGGTTCTCCTGCCCCTCTGCTCTGCTCCAGTGGGGTCACTTTGGGAGTACTGGGTCCAGTTCTGGGCTCCCCAGTTCCAGAGAGACGAGGAGCTACTGGGGAGATGCCAGAGGAGGCTGTGGAGCTGCTGAGGGGCTGGAGCATCTCTGTGCCAGGCCAGGCTGAGAGCCCTGGGGCTGTGCAGCTGGAGAAGAGAAGCCTCAGAGGGGATCTGAGCAGTGCTGAGCAAGAGCTAAAGGGCCCCCGGGGGGCAAGAGGCTGGGGCCAGACTCTGCTCAGTGGTGCCCAGCCACAGGCCAAGGGGCAACGGGCACCAACTGGCACCCAGGAGGTGCCACCTGAGCAGGAGGAGAAACTTCTTGGGTGGGAGGGTGCAGAGCCTGGAGCAGCTGCCCAGAGAGGCTGTGGAGTCTCCTGCTCTGGAGAGATCCCAAACCCTCCTGGCTGTGACCCTGGGGGAGCTGCTGGAGCAGGGGGTTGGGGGAGATGATCCCCAGAGGATCCTCAGCCCCACCTCGCTGGGATCCTGTGCCCCTTGGAGATCTGTGGTGGGACACGAGGGCTGAAGGGTGAGCCAGGGAGCCCTCAGCACAGTGCCAACGAGCTGCTCTGCCCGTGGAGCTGTGGACAAGCCACCAGATGAGAGGATGAACACTTGCATGTCCCAGTCCTTCCTCAATCTGGCTCAGGAGGAGGCTTTGATGTCCTCTGGGCTAGGATCTGTGGTGGCTTTAGCAGCAGAGGAGTCAGGGGGGGGCTCCCCCTGGATCTGGGCAGAGCTGGGCTGGTAGATCCCAGGGTGGATCCCTGCACCCTGCTGTGATCCTGACATCTCCTGCAGACATACAGCCTCCTCCTGGACGTGGAGGACTACGAGAGACGTTACCTCCTGAGCCTGGAGGGCGAGCGGCCGGCCCTGATGGGAGAGAGGAAGCAGAAGATCTGTGACATGTATGACAACCTGAGGGGGAAGGCACCCGGGCAGGAGAGGTGAGCAGAGCAGGAGTCCAGGAGCACCTCCACCCACGGGGAACAGCCTTCCCAGGAAGAGGAGCTGGGTGCTGATGGGCAAGGGAGGACACGGGGAGCCTCGGTGGCTCCTTCCCCACCACTCCCTAGGAGACTGAGCCTTGTCCTCCTGCCGGGCCCATCAGAGGATGGGGTTTGGGGTGTCGTTGCTGTGCTTTTCCCTCCCCCAGGGGAGGTTTTTGAAGGCTGGGGGGTGTTCTCTGCCTGTGGTACCCAGGAGAAGGTGCCCAGCTGAGGGTCTGCTCTCCTCGGCAGGACCAGCGACGACCACTTCATGCAGATCATGTGCATCAGGAAAGGGAAACGCCTCGTGGCCCGAATCCTGCCCTTCCTGTCACCAGAACAAGCTGCCGACGTCCTCATGGCGACGGCCAGGAACCTGCCCTTCCTCATCAAGAAGGATGCTCAGGATGAGGTGAGAGAGTCCAGAGGCTGGGAAAAGGCGAGTTCCCCTCGCTCCGGGGCAGGGTGTGGAAGCTCCATCTCCTCTCCTCCGTGGTAGAAGCCATCAAGGTCACCCTTCTCTCCTCCCCCCCCAGGTGCTGCCCTGCCTGTTGAGGCCCTTTTCACACGTTCTCTACCACCTCCCCTTGGGGACTGTCACCAGCCTTGTGCAGCAGCTAACCAACCTACCTCAGAGCGCGAGCGCCTCGGCGCCCACCAACCTGCACCTCACTGCTGTGCTCCAAAACAAGGTGAGCCCCTTCCCCTCCCCGGAGCTTCACCCCCCCTCCCCAGGAGCTTCCCCTTTCACTGCCCTCGCTGCTCTCTCCTCCCTGCAGTTCGGCCTGTCCCTGCTGTTCCTGGTCCTGAGCCGTGGGGAGGAGCTGCAGAGCTCAGAGGCCACCACGGAGCTCCAGCAGGACAACCAGTGGTGAGTGGGTGGGGCTCGGGGGGGAGGGGC